TTATGCATCTCCTGAAGGAAATCTAGTCATATTTAGGTAGAAATAACCTTTGAGTGACTATACTGTGCCTTCAATAATTTTTTGACAGGTGAAAACCGATTGAAAACTGCAAAACAAATAGAAACATGGGAAACTCGTGCTATATACGGCCAGATCAGATAAAAAACAATGCAGAGTCACGAGGATCGTTGCAAAAGTTATCATATCTTTATTGAAAACCCTCCAGTAAATCATATTTATTGTAGTGTAGTCTCCAATGTCAGGGCTACACAAAGTCATCAGGCCGATTATACACACATGTCTGTCACGTAACTGCCGTTATGTGACAAACGTTAAGCTTTCAAATCTTTAATTAGGCCTATATTATAATTTAATTAGGCCTATATTATAATGCAACTGTGTGTATCTGCATGTCATGACCGTTTAATCCAGAGAAAAGCAGGTTTACGGTATCGCTCAGCGGCTGCGGTGCGCGCTCCCGCGAGCTTAATCAGATTCTCGCAAACATTGACTTTTTCGCACAACACCGGCATTTGTAAGCATGCACAGATGACCGTCCACCTGTACACATGACCCTCTCCGTGGCACAAATGGGGATTTTCTCCATACTTAAAAGATGCTTTCACTCGTCGTTCGGCGTAATGAAGAAGCTGAAGGCGAAAAGCCCGGCGGAGCAGCGCTGGGTGCAGCGGCAGCTCAGAGACCCGTACGTCAAAGCTTCTCATGCGCAAAACTTTCGCTGCAGGAGCGCCTTCAAACTGCTGGAGATGGATGACGAGTTCAGGATTTTACAGCCCGGGCACAGCGTGGTGGACTGCGGGGCTGCACCCGGGGCCTGGAGCCAGGTGGCTGTCCAAAGGGTCAACTCCAGCGGGACAGGTGAGAGCCAACGTGCCCCTAAATAAATATACAGAACCAAAACTTAATGTAAACAGAAGGAAATGAGAAATGTTCTTGATTGGTGAGTATGAATATAAACACAAGGATTGAGCAGAGCCTTAGATCAAGCCTCTTTGGGATTTTTCTGTTTAAAATAGGTATTTGGTCCACTCACAGCAGTTCTTTCATCACTATTAAAGTGGTGTCTTTGGTGTGAGTTTTTGTCTACATCCTGAGGGCATATTTGCTTATAATGCAGGGCTTTATGTTATTTAGAATTTATAAAAGAGTTATTACTCAATGACTCAAGATTAATAATTTTTTTCACCGAGATTAACTAACTGCAGAGTCATAGATTTTATAGCACTTAAAATTGTAGTGTGGCCTTCAGCTTAGTTGTATGAAAGGCGACAAAAACCCAGCATATTCATTTCTAAAATCCTCCCCAAAAATGGCTTCCATTTAAAAACCGCTTTGGGTTAAGTCGAAACAGAGTCAAACTAAATGGACTCAAGTTGACTGATTTTGATGAACCAAAAAAACAACAAACTACGCTCTCTGACAGCAGATTTCAGAAGTGTTTACTGAGCCCGTTTGGTGATTTGACTACAGAATCGCATCCACTTTTCATGCGGTGCAGCCTGAGGGCCAGTATTGGTTGCCAGCTTTGCTCTGGAGCCCGTCCACCATCCCCTTCACCAGGGATGTGCAGACGCTCTACGCCTTCCTGGAGAGGTGCTCGGCGGCGGCCGTGGAGGGGCTGGAGGCGAGAGAGGGCCCCGAGCCGTACAGCCCCCTCTGCACCGCCACGCTGGCGCAGGCTTACGTTTTGAGCAAAGGTTCTCCAGAGGTTTCCAAGATGACCCTGAAGTGCTTCCAGGAGAGGGGCGACTCCACCCAGGTGCTGTCCAGGCACTTCATCCGGATCAACACGGAGGGCCAGCAGAGCGTCCTGCTGACCTCGCAGCTGGTCGCCGCGCTGACGCTGCTCATCGGGAAGAGAGCGGCGTACGGCGTGCAGGAGGGAAACCCCTTCCTGTTCGCCAAGCCCGACTCCTCCCCACCCAGCCACTTCCTGGGAGAGGACTGCGTCCGCTCTTACTCCAGGAGCTGCCAGGCCGGTGACCCGGAGCGCCTCACGTCGGCTCGCTTCCACAAACACGCAGCCAGGATGTTCCAGATCCTCGACCTGGAGGACGACGAGCTCGGTCAGCTCGCCAAGCTGCTGGGCCGCGACGTCCGGGCCGATCGGGAATACTACCAGTCCCCCGAGGCCGCCGCCGAGCTCGCCAAAATCTCAAAGTTTCTTCTGGCGATGGAGAAAGGTTCCCTGGAAAGATTGGAAGGAAACTCCCTGGAGGAGCTAGAGCTCGAGGGTAAGAGTCCTCCTCAGGGCACAGCAGTTTATTTGTTTATGAAAATCAATAAATATATATATTTTTTTTTTTTCAAGATAAACTGGAGCCTGATGCTGAGCAGAACAGCTCCGGAAATGCTGAGGAGGAAAGTGAGGATTCAGATATTTTATCTCAAATGAGCGGTATGTTTGTCAGACAAGGCGGTAGACTTTGAGGATTATGTGTAAATATTGAATGGTGCCTGTTGTGATTTTTCTGGCTTTTGAACTCTTTGCAGAAGAAGAAGAAGAACCCCTGGACGGGCCGCTGACTCCGGTGCAGGATGCACTGGAGCACATTAAGGCACAAAGAGACAAAAGGTTCCGCCAGGAGAAGTTTATCGACTCCTTCAAAGGTTTGTGGAATCTTTCGGTAGATTATGGAGCCGTTACAGGATCGTAATGTTTGTTCATTTGAATTTGGACAGTCGGATGTGGCGGATAAAAAAGTTGATTTATTTTTAATTTTGTTCATTTGTTTAATACATCTTTTTTTATATAAATTGTATTGTTTAAAAAGATTTTTGGTGGACAGGAATGAGGAACCAGGCCAGAGGTACCTGCTGAGAGAGAGAAAAAAAGTAAATGACAACTAATGACAACAATGCCCAGACAACCCAGACTGGTTCCTCAGAGGGGGGGGGCTGATACCTGAAAGCTGCTGCTGGTTCTCAGCAGATTTTGGATCAGCCGGCAGCTTTTTTAGAGGGTTTTTGGGGTCAGAACAATATTAAAGAACTCCAGCCGTCGAATCCTGAAGGAACAAACGATGGAGCAGTTTTTTCTGAGATGACCCCCAATGTCTGTTTCTCCAGGAAGAGGAGTGTTCACCAACGAGTCCATCGAACCTCCCAGCTTTGTTGTCGAGTACCGGGGAGAGATCTCTCGACATGAAGACCCCCAAAGGAAGAGAGACACTCTGAATGGTTTTGTGTTTGACTTCTCGTTGAGTCGGACAAACTGGAGGTGAGTTTCAAAAGATAAACCATCCACAAACCAGCCTAGGGGCAACAGTTTGGATGAGCCGCTTCGACTCTCCTCCACCGTCGTCTGTTTTCGTTTCTCTTTCTCTGGTAGCGTCGATGCTTCGGCAGAAGACGGGAGCCTCGGGAGGCTTGTGAACGACGACCACCTGAACCCCAACTGCATATAGTTCTGAAAAGCTCATGGACACTTTTAAAAAATGTTTTCCTACTTAGTCACCACAATGAACTCAACTTTTGTCAACCTCTAATTTACACAGACTTTCTCTTTGTGTAATAAATATGATGCGTCAGCTACATTTACATTTACACGTTAAAGGGAACCACGGGTCCAGTCTGACATTTGTTTGTTGTTTTTATTTGTTTTAATTTTTTACACAATTGGGTCTTAAGACACAAAAGGCAATATCTAAAAACAAAGTTATGTTTTTTAACCTGCACATTGAAAAATGCAATCTCCAATGAATGAAATAATGAGGGCAAAATATTTCTGAGATGATCCAATAACCATGGCTTGGGTAAACCCATCCAGGAAATGGTTTTAGACTATTCCAAGAATTACAAGGGAAAGTCCATTCTTCAAAGTGTCAGCAGTGTTCATGTAGTGAGAAGAGACATCACGTCCAACTCTGAAATAAGTGAGCTGCTGTCTGTTCAGTACTGTCTCCAGTTGCTTTTTCCTTCTTTGTGTTCGTTTGAGGTCGCCATGAGGACGATCATAACTAAATATGATTGATTGTGTGCTTCTTGGTGGAACGTTGAATGCCATCAGTGCTGTACCTCATAGCCTTTGCGTTTCTTCAGCCTCTTGTTCTCCAGCTTCTTTTATGGTTCGGATCACTTTCCAGGGACCGCTGGAACAGGCGCCTGCCGATGGGCTGTTTTGACACACATGCTGTCAAAGGTTGTGTCTACACATGCCTTCGTGTGCTCGCAGTGTCTGATGTGTGGGAGCTTCAGCCTGGCACGCATCTTCTTGTCACGCATAACGGCCGCTGCGCACCCATCCATGCTTCCACGTGCCGAGTTAGGCAGAGTTTGCCACCACGGCCTCCAAACCACCTATATCCTTGGCTGCACTGTGGTCAGGCACAAAAAAAAAGAAGAAAACAGGTACAAAAAGAAGAGTGCTGACAATGTCTCTATTTGATCACATTTATTCAATATAACCATCAACTGTGCAAACTTTTTTTTAAATCTCTTTTTTATGCCCCTTTTTTTACCCCTTCAATTCTGGTTGCAAATCCCAGTAACATGACTTTTGAGTATAGTGCTTTATCAACAGTCAGTCATCCATTAAAACAGTCTGCAATGTTCATAGGTATTTATCAGCTCTGGCTTAACAGTATACAGTACGCCATATATCCTTCAAATTAACGTGGAGCCTATCCCATCTGACAACAGGGGAGAAGCAGGGTACACCCTGGGACCGGTCGCCAGCCCCTTACAGGGCTACACAGAGACACACAACCACACCCGCTCACATTCACTCCGACTGGGCAATTTGTAAATAAATTCACCCAATTCACCCAACATGCATGTTTTTGGACAGTGGGAGATTAACACCCAAATCGAAGCAAATGTGTGTTTAAACAAGTTATAACAACTTCTTTCAGACTCATCGGAAAATCACCCTTATGTTAAATTAAATCTGTGGTTACCTGGAGGTGATTAACCCTCTATGCTATAAATTACCTTGGGATTTGTTAGTTTAATAAGAAAAATGACACAGACAAGAGAAGTTGGGTTAGGGATAAAGTCAAGCATTATGTGTTTGCACATAGAAGGCGGCAGTGTTCACAGATAAGGTAACAGTCCACTTTTTGACTGCCTTTCCCTTAAAGGCTTTTTTAGAAACTTTTGCACACAATAAATAATTCCAAACATCTTTCTGTCCCATGAAAATGACCATACCTAAATGTTTAGTCATCCTACTGGTTAGTGTGCGCGCTGATGAATATGCTGAAAGCAAAAGTAGAGAACAGAACTGGGCTCAGCATCAGTCAGAAAAGCAGTGGCAAGCTTTGTAATATCTAATTAGTGCAATGTAATGTGGAGTTGTTTTATGTTTACAATTGTTAATATTTGTGCTGAATGTTGTATTTGAGAAAAACCCCTGACAAGCACTCAGACTCAAAGTGCTGAGATTTTAAATGTTTGTACAAGGACAGAAACATATTCAACAATAAAAGCATTCCTAAAGCGATAATGTCCCCCTAAATTTTACTTTATATTTTTAAAACATTCATATTCATTCTATATTATAAGTACAGTTATAAGCTACTTGTACTTTTTTCCTTGTTTACAGTTTAAAATTAAGATTTGAAAGACTAAATGTCATTTTGCAACTTTTACTTGTTTTCCCATCTGGAGTTTCCCTAAATGTTTTGAAAACCCCTGATTTTTTTTTTTTTTTTACAAATTCCAGAGTGATTTAAATTTGCTCAAATGGCAAGATGGCGGACTCTCACTGCAACGGACGAACAAGGTAAGGAGCCGGAGAGGGGGCTACCGGGCTACCGCACTACCGGGCAACCGGGCTACCGGGGGCCGGAGGGGGGGCTACCGGGGCTACTTCGTCCCCGGGCTCCCGCGATACCGGGGTTCGGAGCGGGGCTACTACGGGGTTACTATCGAACCGGGGTCGGGTGTCCGGGACTCCCCTCCCCGGGGAGGCCCGGCCACCCTCCCCCGGTGGCCGTTTTCCCCGATATTCCCCGGTTTTCCCGGTATTCCCGGTTTTCCGTTTTTCGTATTTTACCGCGGTAGCGCGGTAGCCCGGTAGCCCGCCCACTTCCTTGTTTTT